CACACACACACACACACACACACACACACACACACACACACACACACACACACACACACACACACAAGCAAGCACACATGGGGTTCAGTGCTGCTGCTGGTGTGCGCGGCGCTTGCGGTCGAGGCGAGCAAAGAACGTGTCCAGGAGGGCGAAATAGGCCTGCTTATCAAACGTGCCGTTGAAGAAGTTGCACGAGAGGTTCACCTCAAGCAGGCACCGGCCCGCCTCCTTTGTCAGGGCAACATCCCACCCGCACAGCGGCACGCCAGGCAGCAGCGTCGCGTGCGCCGTCTCCACCAGATTGCGAATGGCAGCCATGTCCGGGATGCTGTTGCCAGTGAGCATGACGCCGTTGTCGGGGTGGCGGTCGTGTGTGGGCGCAGGCCGGTAGCGCAGCAGGCCATCGTGCACACCCAGCTGGTACCAGTGCGCATTTGTCGTGCCACGGCGCACATGTCCGCTCTCAACGTCTGTGTCAAACAGCACGCTAGAGTGGTCTGTGCTGGCGCCAGCGCGGCCGGCGCGGAACACGCAGCTCAGGCTCTGCACCTTCTCCTTCCGCGCGCTGGCATCGCCATCCATCTCGCCGTCAATCACGTCCAGGGCATTGGTGGAGGCGGTGATGACGCGGAGGGTGGACAGGGGCGCGCTGTCCGGCAGCCACTGCTGCAGCAGCGCCGAGTTGTGCAGTACTTCTTGGATTATCCACTTGCCGCCTAAAGAGGTAAGGGGGAAAGGGGTAAGGGGGGAAGGGGGGGGGTGAAGGCAGAAAGCAAGTGGGGGAAGGGGATGAGACGTTGCAAATGCGTGATACTTGCTGGCGCAAAGTTGCTATGGAGTACCATTACTTGGCAGATACGGACAGGCGCACAAAGACACAGACGCAGACACAGACGCAGACACAGACAGACAGACACACACACACAAACAAACAAAGTTTTCAGACAGATAGACATAGACAGACAGAGACACACACACACAAACAAACAAAGTACACACACACACACACACACACACACACAAACAAACAAAGTACACACACACACACACACAAACAAAGTACGCAAACAAAGTACGCACACCCACCCACACACACATAAACAAACAAAGTACGCAAACAAAGTACGCACACACAGGTTCTTCCTCTTTGCCTCACCGTGCAAGGCGTTTTTGAAAAAGTGGATGCCCATTCCACCCTCCTCGTTCCTGTCCTTGCAGACGATGCTGTCGACCTTCAGGAACGGCGACACGGGAATGTCCTTCTCCTCCGCAGCCACGAGGAACGACCACTTGTCTTCGAGGCGGTAGTCATCGCAGCCCGTGACCAGCGCGTGGTAGCTTGCCAGGCGGCAGTTGAGGCGCCAGTACGCAAACCACGGCTCGGGGGTGAGCAGCAGCTGGCGGTACGTGCGACACACGTCGGCGACGGACGCGCGCTTGCGGGTGATGACAACCGCATATGCACAGAACATGAGCGGCATGCCGAGGAAGAGGAACAGCGTGAACACAGCGCGGCTGCGGCACAGCCAGTCGAGAGGCACCCCTGTGCCCGGGAAGGCCACGTTGCGCAGGTTCTTGATCATGTCGTTCTGGAACGTGCCGCTGCGGTAATGGGGCTTGTCCCACAGGTAGAAGATGAGCGCAAGCGAATGCAAGTACACCTTGATTCGCAACCTCGCATCGCTGCTGCTGCTGCTGCTGCTGTTGTTGGTGTTGTTGTTGGTGTTGTTGTTGTTGTTGTCGTTGTTGTTGTTGTTGTTGGTGGTGGTGGAAATTGAGCCGTGGTCATCGTTGTTGAGCAGGAACGGGCAGTCGTCGTAGGATCCACCGCGAGCAAAGTACCAGAGCACACGCCAGTACAGCAGCGTGTCTGCCAGCGCCGCGCGCACAGGCTCGCTGCATCACGTGCGTGTGTCGACAGACAGAGGCGGTGAAATCGGCATCGTGAGGGTTGGGAAACTTGACGGCAAGTGGGCATGCCAAGTTGCACAGTGTTGCAGGGTTGCAGGGTTGCATTGTGGGTTGGTACACAGCTGCGCGCAAGTGCACACAGCCAGCCAAAAAGCCAGCCAGAGAGCGAGCGAGGCAGACAGGCGGGCAGCTACGCACAGACACAGGCATACATGCGCATCCCATCCATACCTGGCAATGGCGGCGAGGACAAGGGCGCTGATGGTGAGCGCGGTCATGGCGACGCCGATGGCCAGCGTGGCCATCAGCCAGCCGAGCGCGCGTCCAGCCCAGCGGAGGCCCTCTTCTCGACTCATCAGCTCTGTACAGTTTACACACCAGAGGAGAGGGAATAGTACAGGAGTGATGAGACATTCGCAGTGCTGGACGTCATGCTGTGTGTCCCTGTCTCTCCCACTGTCACTGTCACTGTCTCCCTCTTTCTCTTTCTCCATCTGTCTGCCTGTAACACCTACGTTCAGGGAAGAAAGGCAAGGTGAAGCTAGTTGCGTTTGCAGTGCCAAACGTTGCAGCATCCATGGGCACAGAAGATGCGTACACCACCTGCGCCGTTTGCCCAGAAGGAAGAACAAGACGTGTGTGTGTGCGTGCGTGCGTGCGTGAGAGGTGTGTGAGGGTCAAAGGTCAGACCGTAGAGCGCCAGCCAGCATCGCATGCAGCACAAGTGGAATGCAACAAAGCATGCCACACAGCAGCATGGGCATCAGATACGCAAACGCATCACAAACGAGTGTTGTGGAACAAACGAGCGCGCGTAGCATGAAACCGCACCGTTGCAGCCGCAACAGCGGTGGCATGACGAGAGAGCAACGCACCCGAGCTGTGCTGCACATCAACATCATCGTCGTGTG